GATAAATTTTATTTTGACTCGAAGAAATAATAGTCATTTGGAGAACAATAACATTATCATATAAAGAGATGGAACTAAAATATCCAAGAATCTGATTTTCCAAATTTTTATTGTTAAAATTAAAGCAAATTAATATTAACGAAGATCAAAATAGAATTCTCAAAAGTAAAAAAATGTATTGGCGCCAATGTCATAAAGGTATCACTACATTATTCAGTATATTATACTAAGTAGCGAACAGCTTAAAGCGTATATAAAATAGTTCAATATGTGGCTCCATTAATCTTATACAATTATTTTTTAAATATGAGATGTATTCGCCCTATTTCGTTTAAGGTGATGAAGGTCTGATAATAGAATTTACCCACATCCAGGGATGAGAGCAACTTTTGGGAAAGCAAGGCAATGGAAACGTCAGCTCTACTCATATCATTGTGGGTAAATTCTTCTACTAGACCTTCATCACCTTAAACGAAATAGGGTGAATACATCTCATATTACTGATTTACTGGTAATCTCAAAGCTCTACTCAAACACGAAAAAATATTTTTTAGACGGTGAAACCAAAAGCAAGAATAAATATCGATAAAAGAATGGGGTTTATGCTGACGAGTGCATGTGAAAAGAGAATTATACCATAATTCAACAAAAATGTAAATGAGGTAAAATTCTTAGAATGAAAATAAGTAACCAGCTAATTTATAAGAATGTATCACTTGACACACGTAAAATAATGCCGATAAGTACTTAGGAAAATCAACCATTTAATATAAATTCAAAAAAAGATGAATACCTTCCGTCGCAAATCTTCATCACTGGCTCGTGTAAAAGAGTCGTCTCCATGTGATTGGCTCATGCACGGACGCCTTATCGAGCCAGGAGAGCTAGGCCTAGTCTTACTCTTGCGACGCTGCCTCTTTTCTGGGGAGGCAAAAGGAGCGGAAGGCCTGTGGACCAGAGCGAAACGCCTGCCAAGATGACCACCGTTAGTGCCAGTCGAGGCAGCAGTCAGAGTTGAAACTTGAGTACCCCGACGACGCCGGTGATAATACACTACAGCAGATGCGTTGGAACCAGAAGCTGCTGCAGGTGTGCTCGAAGAGACATTGGCTGGGCGTCCGCGGCGGCCACGACCTCGGCGCAAGCCACTAGAGGGAGAGCAGGTGAGTGATTTAGACAAACCAGAGACTAAGGTAAGGCTAGACAGTCCACGACCGCGACCTCGGCCACGACGCCGACGCAATTCCT